GTTCCATTTCAACAAACGTGGATGAGCAGCAGCAAATCCATGAGAAATAGACAGCTTCCTCTAAACTGGCTAACAAAAAATGACAGTGTAACGTTACACCAATGGCGTGTTTAGCTGCATTATCTAGACAAATTAACCTCGACATACCTAGCCAGGTAATTTGGTTAAGCAAATAACCGTTCACCTGTGATATCTGCTTTACATTACTGATTATCGATGTGCATGCTGACTCATTTTGACATCCATCAGAGTTAATGAAGGGATGTCTGGTTAGTCGCAAGTAAGGAAAAAACAAAAAAGAGACTTTAGCCAAAATTAGTGCAAAGCTGCAGGATCCATTTTCATGCTGGATGAGTAATGGAGGCTGCCTCAGATGAGCTAACACTACAGCAGGCCGATACATTGGATGCTAAAGAGGACTCATCATCTTCTACATGAGGTATTTTCTCCTCAGTGGATTATGTGCCAACATGTACGTTTTTTCAGAGAAATTTACACACATACTAAACACTCACACGCTAACACGCCACCACCACGTCAGTGTCACTGCAGTGCTGAGAATGACCCACCTCCCAAATTATACCTATTCTGTGGTGGTCCTGACTGCTGGGATAGGCTCCAGCTCCCCTCACAACCCAGAAGGATAAGCAGCTTAGAAAATGTGTGTGTGTGTGGTCGTCCTGACCATTGAAGAAGGGGGCTAACAAAGTATGCAGAGAAACAGATGGTATCCAAATACCCGTGTGCATCCCTATTAATGATTAATGGGGTTCGCTGGGGTGCATAAAAATCCCTCTATACAGTTCCATAGTATTTATATGCTTCATTCCAACAGATTGCAATGGACTACAGTAAACATAAGGGGCTTCTGTGGGTTCATTGCTCAATCAAAGAAGGAACTGCTCCTTATGCTTTGAATGATGGCTACATAACCTACATATTAGTTTCACAGTAGTTGCCAAATTATAATAGTTACTGAACAATGCGTCTTAAGAATCACAGTGAACAATAAGTCTGGGGTTTATGGAATCGATCCTAGATTCAGCCCTAGATATGTTATCGCTCCTGCTCCCATCACCTCCCCGAGATAGACTTATCAAGTGAAACAGAGCAGGGGAAGTCCATAAGTCCATAAGAGCTTCATTCTTTTGGAATGAACAAAACACCTTCTTGCACTTGCGTTCTGTTCAAAGGTGACTCACTTGGCTAACACGGCACCCGCTGAGTGGATTTCCAGCTGTGCCTTTGCAACAGTAATCCAGTGCATGTGTGCGTTAGATCAAGGATCACAGTTATAAACACAGCACCGCTGCACTGCAGTGGTGTGAAACACCGCCTACCAACCTCCCCAACCCCCCCCCACCTCCGTGCAGATGTGATAGGACGCTGTAGCCGGAGCCCAAATGCAGCGGCTTAAGAGGCCACTATAAAATGGCTTCTCTTAATCCTCTTGCCATGCCACTCTCGCCGGCGCAGAGCAACCCGCCCACTCAGGAAAATATGAAACTGCGTCAGCAAAGGGACAACGGACACATCCCACCTAGAGAGCCACCATAGAGTTTTAAAGTATACATGTACAGAATATTAAAACAGAGCTGTTGTTTAAATTGAAGTCCTATGTCTCATTTTTTGTATGGTTTGGTACTCACATCTGTTCTTTGGTAAAAAAAAAAAAAAACAGTGGCAAGTCATGACAAAAGAGCTAGGCCTTTTGTTCAAGCCATAAATATCAAAGCTGAAACCTGGTAATAGCCAGGCATTAGCTCATATTCACTTTCATGACATGTCTAGGATTTCAAGAAGGCCTAGAATGAGTTTTATCTCCAAATACTGGTCCCATCCACTGAAAATTAAAAGGTGATTGGTTGATTCCTGTGTCACTTAATTATGCTGGTAGTTATCATACAATGTAAGGCCTTCTGTCAAGCTCCCGAAGTTCTAACCAATAGGACAGCTAATTTTTCCCCCCTAAACTAAACAACGAAATGAAAGTATTGCTAGAATATTCACAGAGTTTAAATACAGACACAGACACATAATAGTAATTATGCACATAACTGATGTCACACAATGTGTGTGTAGCCGAGTTAGCAAAACCTTTTTTGCTCTGTGACAAGAATTAGCCATGCTGCTAAAAGAGGGTTTGGATGATGCACTTTTTTGTTTGTGCATTTTTCCTTAACAGGGTAAAAAGGTTGCACACACAAACACAGGGACACAGGTGCAATCTACGTGTATCAACCAAACTATAAAAAAGAATGCGGACTGTTCATATAAAGAGTGGCCAGGTAATCAGAAACACCAACCGTACACATACAATCATTGGGCATCCGAAACATCTACCATACAGGTGCACTTTGGAAGTTTACACTTACTGACTGTAGCCCATCTGCCCAATTTGTCAGCATCCGTCTACCTTGTCCAACAATGAAAAGGGACTGCCATGGGACCACTGCTGACCAGATATTATCTCGCGGGTGGACCATTCTGAACACAGCAGTGATTCTGTGAATGTATTCTCTAAGAAAATCTATGGTGGAACAAAAAGGTACTCATTCGGTGGAATATCTCTACGACAGGGTGGAGGTATTTGGCCCACGGCCCATTTTGCGTGCTTCAGACAGGCACTGAGGGAACAGGTCGTCAAACAGACACCCTCTGTCTCTTTCCTTATCTCTCTCTCTCTCTCTCTCTCTCTCTCTCTCTCTCTCTCTCTATCTCTCACTTTGCCTGCCACTCGTATCAAATGGGCTGCCTTTGCAGGCAGGGTAGGGCATCGCCATGGAAACAACGGCCCAGCCTGGTGCAGCGGAGCTGAGATTGGCACGGCCAGTTGAGCACGGAGCCGATCAGGCGGCATCATCCTTCAATGTGTGTGTGTTGTTGAGGGGAGGCAAACTCGAGACTTGCGAAATAGATCCCCCTGACATGGAGGAGAGGTTATTTTTGGCCCGTCAATCAGGGAGACCTAAAGGAACTGGCACGAGGGGGAACGCAAGAGGGGAGTGGAGAGAACGCCTAACAGAAAGGGGAAGCATGTAGTCAGGATCGGGAAACATAGCGGTGACCTTGGATTTCCTCTTTTTTTAGCTAAAAGAAAAGAAAAATGCTCAAAAACGTCCAAGAAATGTGTTCTCTTTCTCTTTCTCTATTCGCCTGGCACTCATACGTGCCTTTGCTGAACTGGGGAGCTCACTCTCTCTCTTCGAGATGCACACAAATACTCAGGCCTCTGTGACCTCATTTGAACGCTAACATTTTGTAGATTTCACTTTCACTTCCTGCCTTCACCCTCTGTATATTCCCATGATGCAAACAACACAGGGGGCACACTACTGTTTGAGCCATCTTGGTGTCTCCGGCCCCTGGCATTAAAATATGGGAAATGAGGGAAGACTGATTGAGGGAGGGGGGAGAACTCTGACAACTTGGGCTGGAGTTATGGGCAGCTTCTGCCTGTAGCTAGAAGGCCAGACCCCCCCTCATAGCTGTATTAGAACTCATGTATGACTGTGAACCCTTTGTCATGGGCACGGAAGGTGATTATGTGAATTTATAGGGTGTTAGATTGGAAGAAGGAGGGGTTTCAGGCATGTTCCTCCCACCAAACTTCAATTATAACATAACTACATTAGTAGTACATACACGAACAAGGATTTGTGGCACACTGCTGTCTGACAACAAGAGACTAGTGTAGTAAATGTGCTTGGTACAAAATCCGATCAAAACTCATGAGTGGAGATGCATTTGAGGCTCGTAGAAATGCTGAATGTAAACAGCCATACATCTCGCTGTGCACTTGTGATCAGGTCACTTGAGACAGATGGTAATACCAGGTATAAACAGGGCGTACAGGACAAGAAAGAGAAAGAGAGACAAGGTTTGTTTTTAATTCTGCACCCTCTCATGCATTTTCTCTCTTTTGCATGCTCTATCTCTGTCTAGTAAAGTCTTGTTAACTGTTCACCATGGACAGAATAAAAGCTTGCTAAAGGGGAACTGTTTTAAAATGCCAAATGAGTCAGGCACACTTTCGTTGTCTCAAAGTCACAGGTACAGGTCAAGTTTGGGCTTCAATCTAATACTGGAGCAGATGTCTACTTCTTGTCCATGGCTAACACTTAACCTGAAATGGTCTCCTGCTGTGGAGGACGTTATCACCGGCCATGATTTATTTAGATCTACTCTGGGAGGGGACCCCAGACTTCTCTTTTCGTACCCAGCCATTACTTGCTCCCCTCTCTAAATCCTTTCCATCAGCTACTCTTCTCCTTCACTCTGTATTCCAGACTGACGCTGCTATGCTCCTCACCAAGTTAACCAGTGCCATTTTTCAGTGTCCATCCCTGCACACCCTGAGTGCATGATGCCACACTTGCTTTGGCAATCAGAGCCAAGCCTGGAAACGCTGTATGAACTGACTCCTTACTCAGAGCGTGCACAGCTGCTGAGCGCTCCCTGTGCCGGCAGCAAAGGGTTTCTCAACTGCTTTAAAACAAGACAGCTGACCCAAGGTCAGATTCCTTTTGGCCACTCCTCATCTCAGGCACTACGATTTGAGAAATCTAAACTAGTTCAGAATCTGTATTGCAATTCGATCTGGCAGGCCTATCTATCCAGTATCTTAGAATCTTAAAATAAGAGTGCTGAGTGTTGCTGTTTTTCAGTATATTTGGATTGTTTCCGCATGAGCAGAGCAAAAACGCTATCTGATCTCCTGCATATCACCGAAACAGACGTTCATCTGAGCATGCTCAGTGCTTTCTGTGTTTTCTGTGCCCCTGTTCCAGACCTGCGGCAGCTGGGGACCTTAACGCATCAGCGGAATCAGACCAAAATTAGAACAGTCTCTTTTTCTCTCGTTCCCTTTTTGTACAGTAATCCCCCCATCTGACTCGCTGCCTTGCACAGCCTCTTCAGAAGCTTTCTCCCTGACACACCTACACACTGTTAATGTGTTTTCTAACGAGAAACAGTCCTACTGAAAATCTTGTTTCCACTCATAAAAAAAGCATAATCTGTATGATTCACTTCCTTTTTTTTTTTCAAAATTTGATGTGCAAGCAAGAAGTATAGGAGTGCAGCATGGACCATGAACTTCAATCATACTCACAAACTCTTTCTACAATGCTCTCCTTCTCTCTTTCTGTCTCTCTCTCACACACACGTAAAAGGAGACGGAGAGTAGCAAACCCAGCACAAATGTATGGGCTGATACAGTCTCTCTAGGATTCTGTATATTCAGCAACAGAAACTAAAAAAAAATCTCCACAGGATCCTCCAAAAGGCTTGATTCATTCATTGCCTTGGCTGGTCCCACCCCCTTCTGCCAATGATTGGATGGTGGTGGGTGACCTTTGGGTCTGGTCCAATGAGAGAGAAAGGGGAAAAATGATGTAGGCAGAGGTCTTTTCGCTCCCTCCCCTGAAATCATTCCCGGGACCCTTTTTTCCCCTCATTATCCGAATAAACTACAGTTACAACATGTCTCTGCTTTACCCTCCACTCAGCGCGGACTGCTTGGCATAAGGGTTCTCCAGCAGGTAGTGGTAATGCTTGTAATTGTCCAACATGTACTTGGGTGCATACATGTGTTCTTTAGGGTCTGACGGTGGGTACTCCTGCACAGACCCATCAAACCATCCCCCGGTCCGGATCAGCTCACGGATATAGTTAAGGTTCCGCTTGTCCTCATAGTCACCCCATCGGGGGAAGTCGCCGTTCTGGGCAGATACAAGTTTAAGGTGGATGCCCTCAGGTGTGAAGCACCAAGAGCAATGCCACCCCGCAAAGTGGAAAGGGCTTCCAAGTGACCACTGCACCAGGATGTGGCCCGTGTCGTTTTCATACTTGCGGAACCCGAGCATGGTGTAGTAGTCGCGCCGGCGCAGCCGTATACCATCGTTGTCGTATACGTCCTTCAGCATCCCCACTGTGCACCCAGACACCACCTCGAGCGAGCCGAGCTGCTTCCAGAAAAACCCGTACAGAGACTTCCGCATGTGGATGGCGAAAGGTTCCGTCCAGCCGTCGAAAAGCTTGAGGAAGAGGACGCCCTCCTGGGCCGGGATCTCGTCAGCATCATTGATGAGGAAGACGTCGTCCGGCCGCAGGCCCCGCACCCGGGACATCCCGTCTCGTGTGAGAAACGTACGCAGGTAGTCATCGGCAATCCAGCCATCCTGCCGCCCACCCTCGGGGAAGTGGTCCAGGAACACGTAGAGGATCTTGTGCCGTACATAGTCGTAGGTGCCGTTAAGCAGCAGGTGCAGAAAGCTCAGCGGTCGTCTCTCGCCGTACGCCGTGAAGTTAGACTCACACACCATAAAGAGATCAACGGCACTGGCCAGCTCATGAAAGCGAACATGCAGCAAGTCAAATTCGTGATTGACATTGATGGCGTTGATGACTCGACGCAGTTTCTCACGAGGGATCAGCCTCTCTTTGGTGGGCAGGTTGGAGTGGTATACCATGGTGGGCACGCCACAGTATGGACCGTGCCAACCTGGCCGGCATACACATTTCACTAGACGTTTCCCCCGCTTGGGCTTCGCCCTAGGGGCACCTAACTCCTCCACTGCTTTTCCTCCAGTGTTCAAGTCCTCAGAAACTTGCAATGTTTTCCGCTGAAGTGCCCCTGACATTGTTGGTCTGCTTTTCCCTGTCCCAGCTTCATCCCTAGGAGGTGCCACCTCTGTTCCCTGCCGGAAGCACCGGGCTCCAGCTTTGGTGCTGACAAAGTACTGTGTGTTGTCCTCCTGGAGGGTGAAAGTGCGCTTATGTAAGTCACCCAGTAACCTGATGGGGTCTGAAGTGGAGACTTGCTTAGGTTCCAGTTTCGCTGCCATGCTGGGAAGGATCTGTCTCTGAATGTCTGGTCTCTGGCGGGCTGGGCTACTGGGGTGCCACACCAACTTCACATTTTCTTTCTGCCAAAGGAAATGAACAGATGAGGTTAAACTTTTAGAACTTTTCACAAAGATTCTGTATGTTCTACTATCACCGCACCGATAACCAAAGCAGACCAAAAATACTGAAGTGAAACTCAACAAAAAAGAAACAATAACATGCAGGTTAATGTGTATATAAATAAATGTATATAACAAAGGCTGTCAACAATCTAAATAACATTTCAATCTAATTTAAAGCTCTAAAGGTTGTCACTCTAAGATGTCCGTCTACCTCAGCGGGATCCACATCCTTGTGTTGTGGTTCTTCAGGTTGTACCCATGGCTGTGGTGCTTTAGGTTCCATTTTGAGTTCCAGTTCTCCTCCTATTCTTCCAACCCCACCCCCAACATGGGACCTTGTGTCAGATGGTCTCAGGGCTGGCGGAGGCCCTTGCTCTGGGGAGGCGCTGGCCAGCGGGGTGGCCCTCTCCCTCCAGAAGAAGCCAGTCACCATGATGAAGGACTTGATGTTGGGGTACGGAGCTGAAAGCTCTCGTAGCAGAGAGACGTAGTGCAGGGCTTTGTAGTAGTGGAGGAAGGAGATGACACATAGCCCCACGGTGCAAAGCAAGAATACTCTGTGACGTCGCATTTTCATCCTAAAACACAAGAGAAAGGGAGAGAATTAGAAAGCAGTGTCTTAGTTTGAAAACACTTTCCTGAGGCTCCAAGCCAAGTGGTTCCAAAAAGTTAATCTAGTGCTGATTAAGCTGTTATCAACAAGTTTAACACTTAACTATGCAGATGAAACCTTCTAATGAAGGTCTATTTAGTTTCCTGCCCTCCGTAAGACTCACGCTCATCATTTAAGGTCAACTTTCCATCTCCCAACCCCTCGTTCATCTTTATCTTCCATATATCGATTGCAGTCCACCTTAAGCATGAAAACCAGACAGCGGCAGAGACACCCAATCTGGCCGTAATAGCATCTGATACACAGGCTGAATGTCAAGTTGCTCTGGCCTGGAGCCCATGGCACTCCATTTTGCGACTAAAGCTGGAGAGGTCATATATTTCATAGCAGGGGTCTGCCACAGCAGGATAAGAGAAGGGGTTGAAAAGAGAAAGAGAGAGATGGAGAGAAAGGAGAAGTAAAAGAAGTCAAGAATGACTGTCAAAGAATAAACCCATACAAAGACGATGACGATGAGAAAAAGAGCATTGTGACTGTGATGTGACCTTCCTGCACTTGTCAAAGAGCCTTCTGGCTTGGCCTCAAATGGACATGCTGTGTGTGTCAGTGGAGAAAAAGAATAGAAAAAGAAAGAAAGAAGAAAAAGAAAAGAGAAAAAGAGTGAAAAAGAGAGTTTACTAGCTTTATCCTGCACTGGGTTTCCTCTAGAGTCTTGATTTCCTGTTTCTTTCAGTATTTTCAATCCTACTTTATTCCCTCGGACCCATTCTTCTTTTCCCTGCTTGCATTTTTCTCTTTCTTCCTTCCTTCCTTCCGTCCCTCTCTTCGAGCACAGTAACAGCAGGGATGGTGTTTAAGGGCTTGGAGAGAGTGCGAGAGGAAAGAATGAAAATTCATGACAGTATGAATAAAAAATGCCTTTCTCTCAGCTTCGCCCTTGTCTCAGTGTAGCAGGGCATGTGCACTCTGAAGGAAAAGCTGTTAGCACCTTTTAAATGAACGGCCAAATTGAAAACAAAGACAATAAAAGAGCACTCAAATAATTACTAGGTTAATAGGGATATTATAATATTCTTGCTGGTTCCAATAACAGATACAAAGAGGGCTTTGATTGCTGAAAGCACCGCTACGAGAATACAGGGATGTTAAAAGTGAGTGTTAAGTGATGCTTGGCCCTAAAGCTTCTGATGATCTTTGTGCTAGGACGCCTTTTTGGAAAGCTAGGTCAAGAACGCTCAGCTATTTAATCTGACAATTGACAGCAGTGCAAAACACCTGTCTCCTTCTTCTTTCACTGTTCACTCTGGTCAGAAGGCACAGCCTTGCCCAAAAAGAATAGCAGGATACTTGCAAAAGTGTTTATCGGGACCAAAGGCTCTCCCCTTCAACCCCAGGCCTCCAACATAATATTATGAATAAAAATAAAATCTTTTAATGCCAGCTAAACACTCACACTAATAACTGTTTTAAGTCTAAGTTCTCAAAAGATGTCAAAAAGGAAAGAGTCTTCAGACGCTGAGTTTGTGGAAGAGGAAAAAGGCTTCTTCTTTATTTCAGCCTCAGGTGGCACAGAGAGACCCAACTGCACAAACACAGTGTTCCAAACAACAGTTTATACCATTTATCTGGGGTAATTTGATATCCCCCCAGCTTACTTCTCAAATTTTAATATTAGCTCGTTCTCTAATATGTGCATCTCTTCGTCCATCAAGTTGGTCATCGCATGTTGAGGTCACTCCTAAAAACTGGTTGCAACAGGTTTTTACCAGTCTGCTTTACCTTTCAAGGTCAACTTGTCCCTCTCTTCACTGAGTCAGTAGGTACACACAGGCCTGTCTGTGAACCCAGGGGCTTTCCAGTGTCTAGAATCTCATATGCAGACAGACTAAGGACTTCCCTTTGTGACAGAATTAATATTCTACCTATTTGGTTACTGATTACAATATCTAATCTATATGATTACTTTATTCAAAACCTCTGTTATGTTTCAGAATTGCACTGCACCCATGGTCCCTATGATAACGAGCAGTGGGGAATCCTCAAGACCTAATAATTTCAGGGAACTAAAGAAATACATGTTTGTAATTTTTAGTTCAGTTAATTTTAATACAAAATTTGAGTGGAAACAATATGGTTAAATATTTGAAAAACCCAACTGTTCAATCGGGATTTTTGACTCTAAGTAGATACAGCCAAGTCGAGTGTTTTCCCAAGCTTCAAATGTCCTTGTTAAATCTAGAATGTCCATGTGAGCCAGCATTCCACCATAATAAACTCTAATAGTATTAGAAATCCCACGTGGGCGCTAGCTAAAATTAGCATTATCATAGAAGTAGATGTTTGGACATTTATGGCCTGAACTGAAGGGAATAAACCAGGAATAGTCACAGTTAGCCAGTGAGAAGGTGTACTGATCCAGCACCTACAAATCGCTACATGTAATCATATTATAAGGGGTACAAATAACTCTTATAGATCAGCACGTCTACCATGAGGACTTGACGTGTAAGACCCTACGATGTGGTGTTTTTTCTGATGCTGTCCCTGACAGGACCTGCGGAAAGCCCCAGGGTTCTCAACACTGCCAAGACCTCTGGGTTCAGGACCGGAGCAAAGAACATCACAAACTGCTGACAAACCCACGGCTTCAGAGCTGCACACGCGGATCCGTTTACACAGCCGAAAAGCATCGAGCCCTGTCCCTTCTGCTGTAACACACATCAAACAAGCCTCTGCATCTTCTTCCGGCAGTTTATTTGTTTTTAGAGCAACTTGTACAAATATTAACCTAGGAAAAAGAAAATCTCAGCATTGGCCAGAAAGCTGTGGACACACCAAACCGGGAGCCAATTAAATTAACAAGCCAAATATTTGGGCCGTATGCTTTGGCAGATCTACCAATGACAAACAGAGCTCTCTCACTGGGGGTGAGTTAGCGCAAGAGCATAACACCCGTGGTGACTGGCTGAGATTTGACTGGACAGTCGTGCATTCTAGTGTGGGGGGGCAGCGTGGAACATGATGCAATGACGTTGGGTGTTGGCGCGTGTTTGGGGCGTGCTGCTCCTAATGAAGCTCTGTCTGGTAGATACGACTAGAGGGGGTGCTGGACAAGAATAGCATTGTAAGTAACCATGGAAGCTGTGAGGGAAGTGAGGAGGGCTGCAACCGGGAGCCAAAACTGGGCTAAACACAACAAACATCCTTAACAAACACAAACAAAACACAAACACACACACAGTTGTCCCACTGTGAACCCCTCTCCGCACTCACACATAGGAACTCTTTCTTATAAGGACAACAGCCCATTCAAGGCAACTTGCAGGGTTGACAAAACCATAGGTAGGTCACAAAAGAACACTGTGAGTCCGCAGAGCAATTCCGTGAATTCCAAACAAAACGGCCAGAACATTTTAATGTGCCATGCCATTTTGAAGGCTGAAAAAATACCACTCGTACTTGTAACGGTACAAACCCATTCTCTGAGCAGGGGCGGCTCTCTGCTGCAAACTAGGTCACGGACCTCGCCCTTAGACAATGGCCCCTGGTGGGTGGCAGAATGTTCCTGAAATAGCTGGTATTTATTTATAGACGTGGAGATGAACAGAGCTCTCTGTGGACGTGTGTACCCCGACCTCTACGATATCTGTTACCCAACACTCAAATCAACAGGCCATCAACAGATCCCAGCAGAGGCTGGGGTTTCGCGGTTCTTGTCTGCTTTGCACACACCGAATGTCCACTGTGTCCTTCCTGCGTCCTCCACCCAGTCCATTGCGGAATCACTCCATTACTGCAGTGTTTTCCAGCCCTGGTACTGGGCTACCATTGCCCTGTACCTCTTAGTTAAGGATGGGAATTCTGGGCTGACGCTGATTTCCGATATCATTTATGTGCATATCTGCAGATGCTGATACATAAGCACTTATAAAATACAGAAATAGGAACTACAATGCCCTGAAATACAGCATTTATTTCTGTAGGGTTACCAGTGTAGTCAAATAAATAAAATGCAAACATTGTAGCCTAGTTGCCCCATTGCCTAAACTTTCTATTCTTCCAGAATACAACAAATATCAGTTTGAAATATCAGTTAAATCTGCACATCTGTCCAATGATAAGCAATTTCTGACATAATCATGCGCCCCTACTTTTAGTTTCCTACATGCTTGACCCACTTCAACTCAGAAAGGGCTTGTTAATTAGCTGATTAGTCAGATCTAATGTGTTAGAGCAGGGAAAACCAAAAAATGCATGGTAAGGAAACTCCAGGACCAGGGTTGTGAATCACTTCATTATCATATCCAGCAGCCCAGGGAGCTCTCAGCATCCTGAGCCTCCTTAAGCGTGACCATTCGATGATGGACTGCATGCCTGATCAACACACTGACACCCAAACTGCAATCTCAAGTATTGATTTTCTCCTAAACAATCATCTCAATCAGGGGTACTAACAATCCCACATGACTGTTGGTTTTAGTGAGTGGTCTAGTGTTAAGCTTCATTAAGACTCTGCCTATTGACGGCCATCTGGTCATCCTGAGATACTATTGTTTCTGAAGTGTCACAGATGTGGATGCATTAGTATGCTTTTCAGCAACAGTGCTTTTCTTTTATCACACTGAGATCTCGGTGGTGATACGGCCCACGTCTACGGCTCCTGAGGACTTTTAGCTGGATTATATGTGTTAATCCAGGGTTGGAGCTGCAACTGAAGCCTGCAGAAGGGCAGATATCCAGGAGCAGTTTTACAATCCACATCTTACAAAATCTATGAAATTACTTATTGCTTGACAATTTCAACCCCCGGAGACCCAAATAACCCTGATTCTTGAACGTCATGCTTCTAGAAAAGGCCAAACATTGCAATTTTGGCTTTGAAGTGTGCTTTCTGTAGGCTGGATACATTATAGGATGCTCTCGCCGTTCTCCGGTTTCAGCCCCATGTTGCTTCACACCCCGGAG